TTTTTTTCCTTTGAAGGAATTTGAGCTTCTTTACCAGTTGTTCCCATGTTGCAAATTTGGCTCCAATGACACTAGTTATTTTTGCCAATTCACACCAATCTGAGTAATATATAAGATCCTATTCTTTCAGCTAGTAGAAAATAAGAATGGAAAACAACAAAACAACTGCATTTGCATCTCATACTAACACAATATTACTATACTATACAGAAGATACAAGAGCCGTAGCTTACTTGGCAAACAGATAGGGCTGTGGCCCGAACGCGATCCAAGGGTGAAGTGTACACGGCACTAAACCTCACTCCCTGTGACTTCAAGAAGACGGCCAGGGCCCGCGCCTGCCGTTTGCCGTTGGGCGTGAGGGCAGCCTCGGGGGACCGGCCCGCGATCAAATCGGGCCTCAGGTTCATGTGGCACTCTCCGTGGCTGATGAGGTAGACATGGGTGACGGCCCGATCGTCTTCCGCGGCGGAGAAGGTGGTGCGGAAGTGGGCCGGGGGCGGGGGAAGGGGCGGAGGCGGGGCGAGGACGTTGTAAGGGTCCCAGACCTTGATGGACGGGCCCATCCGGGGCGTGCCGTAGGTGGAGAGCTGCGGGGAGAGCGGGGACGCCGAGGCGTGGCACGGTAGCATCTCCGGCTCCTGCTCCAGGATCTTCTTGACGATGGACGGATCTCGCGTGTCATTCTGAATGCTGTGCCGAACGACGTCGTCATCATCATCTTCGTCTTCTTCTTCTTCTTGCTGCTCGTCTTCAGATGGGATTTGAGCCGACTGTGAAGCGCCCATTAATTAATTAGGGAGAAAGAATCCTGATGGTGGGCTGCTGCTGCTGCTTGAAAAATGGATCGATCTTCAAGAAGATATGTTATTACAACAATATTGACGATTGAAATATTATAGTATGTGATTAGGCAAAAAGCTTTTGTGGGTAGTATTGAATTGAATTGAAGAAATAGTGAGATCTATTAATTTAATTAATTATAATGGGAAAGAAAAAACAAAACAAATATAGATCTGGAGGAGGAGGAGGAGATGAACAGAGCTGAGGATCTAAAAGAATTTTCTTTCTTTTTTTCTAATAATAAAAATAGCAAGTTAGGAACACAACATACATTCATTCATTCATTCTTTTTTTTTTTTTTATTTTTTACAGAGACCTTTCGGTTTCCGGATCCACATGAGAACCGACTAATCTGGAATTGAGCCGGGTAGGACCACAAGGGCGGCAAAGCTACTGCTGCATTCTCAAGGTTCGAACACGAGACCACAGATTAAGCTGGAAGAGATTCAAATCATCTAATTCAAGCGCTATTGGGTATTCATTCATTCATTATATGTATGTATGTATGTATGTATGTATGTATGTATGTATGGTCTCCACTGTTTTTCTGAGGTTGGGGGAATCTAAAAGGGCTGCTCACATCAAAAGCCCATTTTGCCCTGATGCTGGCCTGGCATCTAGTGAAGAACAAGTCCATCTTTATACTACTGTCTGTACTAGTAGTTTATTTACATATATATATATATATGGTGTTTGGTTACATGTTTTACGCTTCTTCCGGTTTTAAACTCAAGTCGTATGAAAGTGTGTACAATTAATTGATTTTTTTACTACTGTTTGGTTGCCTAACATTTTCTTAATTTATTCATACAAGTAGTAGTTAGTAAAATATTATTATTATTATTATATGCAAGAATATGATCATTTTTGCTCTCTCGTCCATAGTACTTTTCACCACTTGACTTGACACAATGATATCCCCTGAATGGTTGTTTAAGTACCCCAACTCAACTGTCTTGCATATTCATTTGCTATCATCTGATCATAGTATGCTTGTGCTTGACACTGTGGAGGAAAAGTCTGAAGGCAAAAGAAGATTTATGTTTGATAGAAGGTGGATAAAAATGGAAGGGTACAAGGAATGTGTGAAGCAGATGTGGGCAGAACCAGTGAGAGGGCCTGCACTTTATAGTTTTCAAAATCGATTGAAGAAAGTTAAGGCTGGGCTGCTGAAATGGGTGAAGACTCAAGTACCAAATTCTGCAAAGAGAATACAGAAACTTTCTGAACAGTTGGAATCACTCAGAAATCAAGGAGGTGAGAGGGATTGGGAGGAGTGGATGAAGTGCAGAAGAGAATTGCATCAGGCATATAGAGATGAAGAGAGCTATTGGAGGATGAAAGCAAGAACTCAGTGGTTAAGAGAAGGAGATAAAAACACAAAATATTTTTAAGCTTGTGTTAAACAGAGAAGATATACAAATAGCTTGGAGAATTTAATAAAGTCTGATGGGGAAAAGTGTAGAAACAAGGAGGAAGCAGTTTTGGAGGTATCCCAATTTTTTGAGAATCTGTTTGCATCAGAGATATGTGAAGATAGTGATGATATTTTAAAGGGGATTCCTCAATCAATTACTCCAAAAATGAATAGGATTTTGTGCAAACCTGTAGATGAAAGGGAGATTAAACAAGCCCTTTTTGACATGGACCCTGATAAAGCACCAGGTTTGGACGGCTTCTCCCCTGCTTTTTTCCAGTCTTCCTGGAGTACTATTAAACATGATTTATTCCTTGCAGTATCCAATTTTCTGACTTCAGGTATTATTCCTAAGGATACTAAACATACTATTATTACCTTGATTCCTAAATCCAAAAACCCCAAAAAAGTAACTGATTATAGACCAATCAGTCTTTGTTCTGTTACCTACAGAATTATTGCAAAAGTATTAGCTAATAGACTTAAGTCTGTTCTAGGATCTTGTATATCCCATTTTCAATCAGCTTTTGTTCCAGGAAGACAAATTTTGGATAATGTAGTTATTGCTAATGAGTGTATTCACTTCTTGAATAGTAAAAAAAAAGGCAAAAAATGCTATATGGCTTTGAAGTTAGATATGGCAAAAGCCTATGATAGGGTTGAGTGGGGATTTTTGCTTAAAGTTTGTAGAGCTATGGGTTTTTGTGAGCAGTTTGTTTTCTGGGTTTGGTCCTGTATTAGTGGTACCTCTTTTTCTTTTAATTTTTTTGGTCAAGTTGTGGGGAATGTTAGGGCTTCAAGAGGGTTAAGGCAAGGCGATCCTCTATCTCCATATTTATTTATAATCCTTTCAGAAGCATTATCAAATCTCATTAATCAGGCCTCTATTCATAATGGTTTCCAGGGTCTTAAAATCAGTAAGCATTCTCCAGCTGTTTCTCATTTATTTTTTGCTGATGATTCTTTGATCTTTTGTCAAGCAGATCCATATCATGCCCAGCTTCTTTTGCAGATCCTGAAATCATATTGTACAGCTTCTGGTCAGGCTGTTAATATGTCTAAATCTAGTATATTTTTTTCCCCTAATTCTTCTTCTGAATTGAAACTCTCTATCTGCCAATATTTCTTTGGTATTGGTATTGTGAAATCTTCTAAGTATTTGGGTCTCCCACTTGGAATTGGTAAATCCAAAAAACAAACTTTTAATTTTGTTAAGCAGTGTGTTATTTCTAAGATATCCAGTTGGAAAAATAGGTATCTGAGTGAGGCTGGGAAGGATGTTCTTATCAAATCAGTGCTTAATGCATTGCCTATATATGTAATGTCTGTGTTTAAAATTCCTGTGGGGGTGTGTGCTGATATTTGTAAGAGTATTGCTAGTTTTTGGTGGGGCCAAAATGAGAGAGGTTGTGATAGGATTCATTGGGCTAGTTGGGAGAAATTGGCTAAATCAAAATTAGAGGGAGGTATGGATTTTAAACAGTTTGGTGTAGTAAATGATGCTCTTATTATGAAACAGCTGTGGAGAGTAATGTCATGTCCTAATTTACTTATGAGCAGAATAATTAGAGGTAGATACTTTCACAATAAGAATCTGATGGATGTGGAGAAGAGGAATTCAGATTCGTGGATGTGGAAATGTTGGCTCGGGGTGAGGAAATATTTGAAAATGGGGATGAGATATCAAATAGGAAATGGATTAAAAGTTGGGATTTGGGATCATCCTTGGATTCCAAATTCTCCAGGGTTCATTCCAGTTTGTAATTTTGAGGGTGATAAAGCTACCTTGTGTAAAGTTTCTGATCTTATGTTGGCAGGGGGTAAGGGCTGGGATGAAGAGCTTATTAGGCAAACTTTCACTCCTTTGGATGCAGAAAATATTCTCCAAATTAACATCAGCCAAATGGGGGGAAAGGACAGATTAGTTTGGGATGGTGATAAGAAAGGTAAATTTACAGTCAAAAGTGCTTATAATATACAGGAGCAGAAACATAGGCACAAAGCCAGTGGAAGTCAAGACAAAACAAAACATATGTGGCAAAGAACATGGGCTTTACCAATTAAACAGAAGATAAAGACATTCATTTGGAGGTGCTGGCATGATTTTTTGGGAACAAAAAGCAATCTCAGGAAGAAAGGAGTGGAAGGAGAGACTGTCTGTAGCTGGTGTGGTGCAGAGGAGGAAACAATGGAACATATCTTTTTCTACTGTGAGAGAGCAATTAGAGCATGGAAACTAGCAGGCTTGGAATGGACTCAATTGCAAAAACAGCCACTGAAGTTTCAAGAATGGTGGGGGGACCTCTGCTCCATTAATGAAGATCAGAATTATAAAGACAGAGTAAGCCTCTCAACCTACATTTTATGGTGGCTGTGGAAGACCAGAAATAATTGGATATTCAGAGGGGAAAGGATAGATGAGCATGACATGGTGCAGAAAGCAAAAGTGGAATGGTGGGAGTTTGAAGAAATTCAGCAAGTGAATCACAATCTCAGTAATAATGAAAATGAGGAAAAGGGAAGTGAAGACACAGATGGGAACATAGGAGTAGGATATCATGGAGCTGATATCAGTGCTAAATGTTCACTGTCTGAGAGCTATCTAATGCAAGGATGGGCCTTTATTCATGAAGTTGAAGTAGACAAGTGGTGCATACCTATCAAACATAATCAGTTGACTGAGAGGGACAACTTGATGAAGATGAGATCATGGCTCATGAAAGGGTTAGAAGCTGGCTGGGACAGAGTTGTGATTGTCCTTAAAGATAAAAAGTTGTGCAAGAGACTGAAGAATCCAGCAGGTTTTCCAGTGGACTTACAAGTAGTGGTAGAAGACATTGGTGTTCTTTGTAATCTTTTTGCTTCTTGTTATATTTTCTAATTGCTCCTGTGTTTAGTTTGTTTATTTGTTTTGACCGTGATGGTCATGTAGGGGGAGCTGTAACAGCATCCCTCGATGGTTTGTAATGTTTAAGCTTGGTAGGTTAGATGCCAAGTATTTGGTTGTTGGACCTTGTTGTACTTCAAATTTTGTCCTTAATAAAAGTTTGGTTGTTGAAAAAAAAAAAAAAAAAGACTTGACACAATGATATAATGCAGAAAAGGGGCTTTCGTTATTTTATCCATAAATGATGGAGATAGAGACCGCGTTGGCCTTTCTCGACAAATTTGATCTTCTTAAGATTTAGTTCGTAATTTTATTATTTAATTTTTATTATGCATATCTATTCCTTTCTTTTATTATTCTAGTTTTCTTATTATTTTAGAAAACAAATAAATTTCCTTGCAACATGTTTAGCAAGGGAAGGGCTTCTTTTTATTATTTAAAGGGTGAGAAGTAAAGGTTGTGGACAGTTTTTTGACGATTGAAAATAATTTATCTGATGGAGAGAGTATCTCAACTGTTCTTCGTCAGAGAGTATCTCACTTATTTCCCATTCGTACCACGTTCTACATCAGTTGGTATCAGAGACCAGCCGACGATCCACGATGCCGCCGAAGAGAGGCAATGCCG